ATTATTATTATTATTATTATTACCATTTGCTGTACCAGGGCTTGAACTCAGGATCTTGCACTTGCCAGGGAGGCACAGTGCCACTGAGCTGTATCGCCAGCCCTTAGCCAGTGTATTACAGACTTAGAATTTAACAGAAAGAGTTAGAATGGCTATATTTCTCTGGACAGACATATGTAGTGATGGATAATGTTGATTGAAGTCTAGCACATGTATGTACCTGCTTGTAAATATAGAGTACCATTTAGCTATTGAAGCGTAACAAACCACTCCAAATCATAGTGATTTAAAAGAAACTTCATCAACTAGTTCGCAGTTTCATGGGTAAACTTGAGTACGTCTGTTTATTTGAAAGAGTCAGCTAAGCATGTCTCTGTAATCAGCTGGAGACCAGTGAGGGCTCACTGCACTTGCTAGTCCTCAGAGCCAGTTCCTGCCTTCTTCTCCAGCTGAATTTAGAAATTTAATCAAGCTAGTCTGGCCTTGCACTCTACAGTGAAGGTCAAGGGGGCGTTGTGTAAGGCATCTTGAGGTCTAGCTATAGAATAAGCCCTAGCACATCTCTGCCACAATCATATTAGTCAAAGCAAATGAGAAGATTAGTCTTCCCTTTCCCTGAAGGGTTATGGGAACAGATTCTACCTCCTGGTGGTAAAACTGTAATACCACATTGTAAAGAAATGGAGTAGCAGTGAGGTGAGGTATAAAAATATAATAAAAATAAATATGGGATATAACAAAAAAGAAACAGAAAAATCTGATCTTACAAATGTGAACTCTTTTAGTTGTTTTTGGATTTCAAATATAAGTATATTTCTTTTCTGTGGGAAGTTTTGTTAGAAAATGTAAGTGATACAATCAACAAGCATATGATATTTATCAAATTAATAAAACCAAGGAGTTTATAAATCATAAAATTTTGAGGACAGTTTCTCAACTATAATATGTAACTTTGTTTTATTTGTAAATACAATATTTCAAAAATATTATATGAAAAGAAAATGAGAAAGAACATATAATGTTTGAAGATCATATCAAACTAATAATGTATTTGGATTATCAGTCTGTGTTGCATAAATTTTTGTTTATTTCATATCCTTTTTTGCTGTCATATATATGCATACTTGAAATTTTTATTTCATATCTTCATTTCTTGTTGTCATATATGTTGGCAATCTTTAATAAAAATAAAAATAAAAAATATTTATTTATATTTTATAAAAATTTTCCACAATTGGTGGTATTACTTTATAGTATCCAATCTTTTACTTCAGTGACAAATTTTTATGTACAGATTGAATTTCACCATCTCACATAGTTTGGCCATATTCTTCAAACTACCTATCTCAAAAGAAATTAAAAGTGATTTGGACTTTCAATCCAGAGCAAGGGTAAGATAGAATAATTAGGGCTAGACTTCTGCTACCACCTGAAACAATTAATAAGGCAACATATAGGAACAAAACAAGAAAAAGAATATCAGGCAATAAATGACAGTGGTCCCTGAATGACAGGACACAAACAAGGTCGGTCCAGTGATTGTTTTTCCTCCATGCCTGGAGGGTTTCCAGTCCATGATATAGGAAAGGCAGACAGAGGATAACAGCAGTAGATCATTTAACTGAGAAGACAGAGATGAAAGTCTTGGAAGTTCAGTCCATTAAGAGTTTATAGAACAAAGGGCCAAAAAGTAGAAAACTAAATGAGCAGAAGCTTCCATTTGAGTATTGCTTAGCTCTGTGTGTGTGTGTGTGTGTGTGTGTGTGTGTGTGTGTGTGTGTACTGGGATTAAGGATGTGATGCTGGGATAAACAGTGCAATGCTATGATTAAGGGTGTCCTACCCTGGCTGTGAGTGGTACCTACCTAAGGGTGGGTGGCTTGCATGGAATATAAGGGACAGAAGGTGGGCCCCCACCATTGCTTGCTGCCACTTCTGCTAGTTGGCTGCTGCTGTCTCCTGTCTGCTTTGCCGCATCCCTCTGCCATACTGTCCTGATTTGGAGCCAGTGGATTATGGATTGGATTGAAACCTCAACAAATGGTGACCAAAAATAAACCTTTCCTCCTTCACCTTTAGATATCAGACATTTTGTCCCAGAGGAGAGAAAAGTGAGTGTGTGTGTGTGTGTGTGTGTGTGTGTGTGTGTAAACATCTAAAGGTGAAATCTACAGTGTCTGAGAGAAAAATTGTACTGGATAGAATTAGCAGCAGATTTTACCTGCACAAGAAACATGTAAACTTGGATACATAGCAGTAGAAACAATGAAGAAATGAAACTGATTAAAAGAGAAAAAAAATAGTGACTAAAAACAGAGCATCAGTGAACTGCGGAACACCTTTGAGCAGCCTTATACATGAGCAGCCGAAGGGAGGAAGAAGAGGGAGGAAGGTTAAAATTATTCAAGCCATAATAACCGAAGATTGTCCACATTTGATGAAAATCCACAGAGTGCAGTACTTTGAACTATCGAAGCCCTATAACTAAGAAATAAATAGGAAGATATGTTATAATCAAATTACTACAAATCAGGAATACAAAGAAAAGCTTTTAAAAGCAAAAAGAAATGAAAGAGAAAGAAAGAAAGAAAGAGAAAAAAGAGAAAGAACAGAAAAATGACATTGCATATGAAGGAAACATAAGGATGGCATGAATACACAACAAGCATAAATAATCATTACCAAATAAAGTTTATCTCAGGAAAATAAGATTGTTTTAGCACTGGAAAATCAATGTGTGTCACTATATCACACAAATAAGTTCGAAATACCATGTGACACTCTTAAATCATATAAAATAAAACATTTAATAGAATTCAACCTCTATTCCTGATACTCTCAGTGAAGTAGGAATAAAAAAAAAGTGCATCTATCACTAACCTAAAAGTAACATAATACTTAATAGTTAAAGGCTGAATGCTTTTCCTCTTGGGTCAGCAAAAAGGCACAAATATTTGCTCTTGGAATTTTACTCAACATTACATTTCAAAAATCTTACAAAATCTTAAAAATCACCAACAAGACTTTAAAAGGCAGTTGATAAGGGTTTGGGTATACAAAATATTTTCAGAGAACAGTAGAAACAAGAAATTACCAAAGGATATGGCAAAACTTTTGGGGGTGATTAATGTGTTCAATACCTTGATGCTGGCATTGGTTTTATGGATTTATACATGTGTCCAACTCATCAAATTGCAGAGTGTGCGTGCTATTATCAATCCTACTTCAATAAAGCTTGTTTAAACTAAGGAAGTGATATTCTTTTCATACACTTTCTATCTTCTTGTGGGGATTTTGCCTTTAAAATGCACTGTCGAGCAATGTGCAAGTGAAATTAGTGATTAACTCTGAACTGTGAAATATTGGCAAAAATACCTTCATTATATTATAATTGAGAGAAGCACCAGTGGTCATTTTCTATGAGAAAACAACCACTTTAGGACACTACATGAAGTCTCACACTCTCCTGTGATTGCGCCTAGGATGCCTTTATCTAAAGAACCCATGAGGTCCCCTAATTCCATCAGGGTTCATAACATTTTCTCTGAAATGCCCTTGACACTGTATCCATATGAATAGGAATAATCATTACTCAGTTAAAACATAGATTCAAAGAGTCACACAATGAAAAAGATTTCATAAGTCAGTGGTTTTAAGCTTCTCTAAACATTTTATGATTCCATAGAGATATTTCAGACTTCTTAATTTTCTACTTCAGATTTTGCTTTTTAAACATTTTAAATATCCCTTTAAAGGGACAAAGCAAACCACACACAGTGAAGCACTGGTTACTCTGAGGATCATCAAGGCTACTTTGTGAGCAACTCATTTTTTTATGCAACTCAGTAAACAGAGCCTTCCTGCTGTCAGGTTAATTAAAGTGCATCCCGAGTTGGTACAGCCCCCCTGGGTTTCTGGGTCTGGGGAAAAGGTGTTGTGGATATGAAAGGTTGCTGGTCTGCAATGACCTTTCGTGGCTTCAGGCCTGTACATGATGACTTACTTAAAATTATGCAACTAAATTCAAGTCTACAGAAGGACAGCATGCTCCATTAAATACAAACAAGACCCAAGCATATGGACCCCATACACCTTTTCTCTGTGAAATCCCAGTTGACTGTGCACCCACAAGAGAGTGTGTAGCATGCTTCATTACAGCAAAAAAACTAAAATTTTGCATCCATTCTATAGTTAGTGTGATTGTTAGCCCTTATATTTTAGTATATTTTTTTTCTTTTGTGGTTAGACAATTATCATTTGAGACAGAAGTGGATTATGAGTTAAATACAGAATATTTGAAATGAAAATTTGGTGATGAATGTGGGAGAATTTTTACCTAGCACACTGGAAATAAGACAGTCCAGCTATACATTTCGTAAAATTTAAAACTTCACAGCTGCTATCTATTAATTTTCCAATAGAGTACAAGAACCTTAGACTCCAGAACAGAAAAATCTTCCTAGCTACTTCAAAACTTAGATCTCCCTTCCTATATTTCCAGGAGAAGGATCGGAGGGGCTCCATTGACCCCTGGATGCAAGGAAAACATCTCATCATTTTTCCCATGCTCAGCTGAGACAGCCATTTGACTCTGTGACAATAGTTATAATTGCTATTATGGCTCAGATTAAGAATGTTTACAAAAGAAAGTACACTTTTCTTGCAAAAAAATTCTATGGCCATCCCTATCAAGCTAAAAATATGTAATTTTTAAGCAATATAAACTTAGCTGAAAATAAGTTTCACTTGATATAAATTACAGCATTGAATATTGTCAAAATGTACCAAAGGATAACAATATAACCTATAAGCTTATATTTTTAATTAATATAATTTAATGCCTTTTTCAAAAGTCTATTTTAATAGCTGAAAATTGAATAGCAGTAGCTTACATAGAACACATCTAGATTATATATATATTACATAAATGCATGTATATATTTAATTTCTTTGTTGTTCAGTAAATGTAAGCATTGGGCTCATATTTTCATGTAGATTACCTTTCGTATTTTGTAGGGGTCTCTTTTGGTCCTCTTTCACCTCTCGGTCTCGTTTTGTTTTATTTGCTATCAATCTGCCTCCATTCTGTTATATCCTGTAAGTAAGGTAAGACTTTTTGTTAACAAATTTAATCATCTCTGCTTTTCAAAGGACCATTCAGCCTTCTCTCACCCAGCTGTAGTATTGATTTGATTCTGCAACCATCCCTTACATTTCCATTTAATTTGCATTGCTTCTGAACTTCCTGTCCTTTTTTCTGTAGACACTGAGGTGCACTTCTAGCTCCTGCAGTGATTACCTTCAAAATGCCAGTGGCCATTATCAAATACATATTTCTGTGTTGTATGCAAGGAAGTTTACCACTTACTTCCCCTTACAGAGAAATTCTCTTCCTCCATCCACAACTCACAGTCCAACAAAAGGATAGCTTTACAGGTTGTAATTTATTTTGTAAAATTTGCCTTATTGAGGAATAATTGAGTACAATGCATAAATGTTAGAGACACAGGAGTTTTACTTGTGTGTGCAACCTGGAAACTACCTCCAAAGTTATGGTACATAATATTTTCAGCAACCTTCACAGTTCTTAGATGGCGTCTCAATCCTTCCCTGACTTTAATGTAGCCCTTAGCCTCACTGTTCTTGAACTTTCTATAAGAGTAAGGTGTGTGTTCTTTTCTATCTAGATTCTTTTATTCTGCATGTTTCTGACTTTCATACATACAGTTAACAGCAAGTCATTCTTTTTGTTATTGATTGAACTGACACAGCTCACTCATCCATTTCCCACTGATGGACAGCTCACCTATTTCCAGCATGGAGGCAGAGTGAATCACATGTTACTTCAATCTCCTTGTGCTCTTATTTTCTCTGGACATATGCTGAGAAGTGAAATTTCTTACAACTTCACTAAAGACTGTCCAACAATTTTGCTAAGTAGCGTTACAAAGTTGACTTGATCCACTTCAACTCTTGACACTGATGGTCTTGCTACATTTTAGGTATACAGTACAGTTACATTCATCATTGGGATCTTGTACGTTTACATGACAGGTCTTGGTTCTCATTTTTTCCCCTTATCCCTGACCTCCCTTCCCTATTTACAAATACTTTATTTCCATTTTTTCATTTTCTCATATTTTTTCTTTTCCCTTATTTCCTTTCCTTTAGCCTTCCCACTTCCCCTACACCTTTAGCCCTTTTCTTCCTATTTCACATTGTCAGTTATACCATTAGGATCTTATGAACTATTATATTTTTTCACACCAGAGAAACTATTCAGTATTTACACATGTGTGACTTTTTTATCTCACTTAGGAGTATATCCTCAATATGCATCCATTTTCCTACAAATGAGACTAATTTCTCATTCTTTATGGATGAGTAGTATTCCATTTTATAGAAAAACCACATCTTCTTTATCCAGTTTCCAACTGATGGGCAAATGGACTGTTTCCAAGTTTTAGCTATTACAAACTGTGCTGCTATAAACATGGGTACGTATATGTCACTCTGATATGATTCTTTTAATTCTTTTGGAAAGATACCCAGCAGAGGGATGGCTGGGTCTAATGAAACCTCTAGTCCCAGCTCTTTGAGGTATCTCCATATTGATTTCTGTAGTGGTTGTACCATTCTACACTTAATTTTAGTCTTTCAATTTATTGATATAGTAAATCAACATTTGCTCTCACTAGTTATTCTCATATCTTATTTTGTGATATAAGTTTAAATCATTTCTAATTTTTCTTACTGGCATTTTAGGATGGTAGGGTATTTGTAGTACTTGTATCCTTAGGAATATATAAAAATGGTACAGAAAGAACTCATCTAAAACCAATATTATAATTATTACTATAAAAAGTAAAGAAGAAAAAAATTTTAATGTGCTCTTGAAATAAATTTAAATGTTAATAACTAATAAACATGAAAAGAAGTCTCACCTCAAAGTTTAGGAAGTGTAAGATCAGTTAAAATATAATAAACTACTCAAAACTTTTATTAATTGTGGAAAAGCATGACATATTTGCAGGCTGATGAAAAGAAAGAAATTGAAAATCTTTACAGGCTACTACTGGTGAGCATGCAAATTGGAGCTACTGTTTCAAAGACTTAAAATGCTCTGAGGATATCTAAAAATTTTGAAAGTGTGTATTACTAAAATTTAGCATTATTTCTGCATGTTATATTTATACTAGAAGAAATTTACAAAAGTGTTGTGTGGAACCTTTTATAAAAACAAGAATTTGAAAACATGAATAATCAACTATAGAGAAATAGATACATAATTGTTCTAGAGTATTTGATGTGGATGAAATATATAGATTGTTTTTCCCAAGGGACAGATCTTAATAATAATTTTGAATTAAAATCAAATGATGCATTATAAATAAGGTGATTTCTTTACAGTGATAAGATGTCCTGCTGTCTAAAGACAGAGACATTAGTATTTCCTGGGGACTTGTTAGAAATGCAAATTATTGGGCCTAATCTCAGACCTACTAGATCAGAATCTTTGAGGTAAGGCCTATTAATCTGTTTTAGCAAGCCATGAAGTGAATTCCGGTGTTTTCTAAAGCTTGCTGCCTATGTATTACAGTTATGTTGTCAGAAGCGTGACTTTCTCAGGATTTTGGAATCCCAAATAAAAAATTGAAGAGGACACACGGAACTCCAGGTACAAGCCTAGATTTATAGCCAGGATATGCTCCTTAGAGTGGGAGTCAGCCAGGGCGAAGAGCTCACAACCCCAAAGAATCCAGATGTCAGAGCCTATATGTGGTTTTTACAGGAAGGGAGGAGCTCTTTGAACTGGCACAACTATTCACTCCAATCAAGGACAGGCTTCCTCATTTCTGTCAGAGGGGTCAGTTCATGGACCTTGGAGGAAGTACCATGACACCCAAAGCCCCTCGTGGGGAGGTCAAAACGACAATGTAAATGAGATTCTAATTATAGTTGAGTTGGAATCACTTTCAGTTGTTTAGAATATTCTTTAGCATGTGCCTTTCCTAGGCATCCCTTAGTCCTTAAAGGTGAGTGCTCTTTGTGGTTTCTAGAGAGTTTATCTTGGACTCCCCCACCCCCGCTGAAGCCTAAAGTGTAACTGTCTTCTTTACCGTGCTGGGGGTAGCTGCTAGAACCTGGCACTCTCTGAGGTTTTGGGAGAACCAGCGTCTTCTTTTTCTGCCTGTCCCTCATACCTCCTCCTTTCAGGGATTTTTCTTCTCCACCTCCTGTCTCACTTCTACCCATCAAATAGAAATGATTTTACTAAGAATATAATATAGAGGGCTGGAGAAATTAAACTTCCAAACTGCAGTTGCCTTTGGAGTTGGAGTTCACAAAGACCCTCAAATATCTATAAAATCATGTCTATAAATATAAAAATAAATGAGAAGCAGAAAGGAAAAATGGTAACACTTCTTATTTTCTAGTAGTGAACATGTGTGGGCATCCTTTTGAACTTTTAAACTATTTTGAAACTGAAAAAAGCTACAGAGTGGATACTGTAAGTGGCTGAGGAACAGTGGTGAGGTTCACTGTGGAAACCAAAATATCTTAGTCCTTTCCAAATTTTAAATTTAAAAATGTTTAGAGATTGCAAGAAAAACTGATTGAAAACAAGACAACAGAACCCATGATTTTTTAATTATTAAGACTTGTTAAGTGTACTGTTCAAATTTTCATGATTTTCCAGCCCAAACTGTCACAAAAAAAGAAAACAGGAAGCAAAGTAGATGTTAAAGTGTAATAGTAATAATATCAATTTTAGCTCTAACTTTTATGAATATAGTTCCATTGGTATTGTGGGAGGGCCCTTCAAAATGTGTCAGTACAGGAACTTTGTAACTCAATAACATGAATCATACCCAACTAGACTGTAAAATGTCAATGTATATCCAACCAGACTGTAAAATGTTAGTGTATGCCAATACAAGTGAGGCAAAGATATAAAAATCGTACAAGAAGGTGCAACTATGCCTTATTCAGCACTCAGCCTTTGGATACAAATATGCTAAGTGCCTGCCCTCCTAAAGCTGCTTCCTGGGAAAAAGGCCTTGGTGTTCCCTCTCTCTGCATGAAAATCCCACAGCATTTCCTAGGGCTCATGTGGACTCAGAGACCATATATCTCCACTTCCTTTATTGCTTGAGCCTGAACCTTGGAGTGCCGGGAGATGTGAGCTTGCCTGGTGCTAGTAGACTGTTTGATTCATAGAGGAGATCCTCAAGTGCCAGGGTGAGAGCTCCAGAAGCACCACGGAACGCAGAGACCAAGGAACCAATTGAAGGCCCACCACTCTACAGATTAGATAAGACCTGGGTTCAGTTTGGTAGTCCTGCCTTTCAAGAAGTAGAAGGGGAGACTGATCATTTCCCAGAGTTCCCCCAGTAAGTTTCACTCAAAATGAAACTGCAACCTTAACTCTCAGGAAACGGATATCTGGACAGCAGATTGGAGTACTGGAGTTGCCCAAGTAGTTCTGCAAGGAACAAAAGCTCAGCCCCAAGGCACTCAGTGTCAGGCTACTGATCAGTATGTGAAGGAGAAGGACGACTTGACAACAGGGCTGAAGCAAGTGTTGAGTCCTGACCCAGGGTTCCATGGAGCTCCTCATAAGGCAAAGGGAGATGATAGATGCCCGGGAGCTCCACCAGTGCTAAGAGGTACCCAAAATATCTCTGTGAGGAGAATGGCTAGGGTCAGATGAAGCGAATGTGCAACCCTTCCAATCAAAACCCTTTCCCTTCTCTCCTCCCTGTCTTGTGGGAGAAGGTTGTTTGTTAAGGGAAGGAAATTGGTGGAAAGCAGAGTAAACCAACTTCCCTGGAGTGTATGCTAAAGAATTAAGAAGGGATCTTGAGGTGACTATGGTGTTAAGCTGACACCCAGAGAACTCAAGACCTTCTGTGAAAATGATTGGCTTTCATTCGAGGTGAGATGGCTCACTGACGGCTCACTTGATAAGTATGTAATTATGCAAGTATTCAGGGTTGTTGTAGGGTACCCTGGCCATTCTGACTTATTTCCTTACATTTACTGCTGGCAAGACCTCTCAGTACATCAGAGATTGAGCCTTGGGCTTTTGGT